GATGTTCTATGGTAAAAGAGACATGTGTACAATAATGAATGGCCAAACATACTTGGGGAAGGAAAACGTATTTAAGACATAGATGATGAGAAAGAATTCCATGAGAAAGACAAGAGCTTTAGGAAGGATTGAAGTTTGGTATAATATGTCATTGAAAACTACTGTGTCCATGAGACTCAAATGAATGAACTCCCCAAATAGCTATTATACAACCAAGATTATTTTCCTGTAGAGGTTATTTGTTTCTAATCATAAGTGGATTCTTGCTAAAGTTTTCCTCATAAAATCAGAAACCTTATCCTAAAATCAGAAATATTTCCTTGTACATACTTTAATCTAGAATATTCCAACTTCTATTTTTGGAAGCTAGTAAAAAATAGGAAAAGAAAACAAAAGTAATTATGGTGATAATTTTCATGTCTTCGTTAGGATGATTATCCTCATTTTTTATACTTCTTGGTAACTCCATAATACAGCTGTAAACTTAAAGGATTGGTCATTATTTTGTTCTTGTTAAATAAGTTTCAAAAATAATCATAGCTCAGTAAAGTATAAGTAACCTCTTTAAGCTCTATTCCTAAAAACACTCGACCATTTGCAAATGCTCAAACACCAGTAAGTGACTTGCAATGGGTAGATAATAAAGTTCTGGAGACATAATGCACAACATAGTGACTATAGTGAATAATACTGTATTATAGATTTTATTTTTATTTTTTAAGATTTTATTTATTTATTCATGAGAGACAGAGGAGGAGAGAGAGAAAGGGAGAGAGAGAGAGAGAGAGAGAGAGAGAGAGAAGCAGAGGGAGAAGCAGGCTCCCAAGGAGCAGGGAGCCCGATGCGGGACTCGATCCCAGGACCCCGGGATCACGACCTGAGCCGAAGGCAGACGCTTAACCATCTGAGCCACCCAGGTGCCCTGTATTATAGATTTTAAAGTTGCTAAAATACTAGGTCTTAATTGTTCTTACTATAAGAAAGAAGTGGTAATTATGTGAATTGACAGAAGTGTTAAGACTACAGTCTTAATTTCAGAATCAGAAGTGGGGCTGAACCCGGTAAGTTATATACATCCCAGGGTTAAAGCTTAGAGGGATGTAAGAACAAGAAGTCATTCACATGTAGATCCTGTATTAACAAACTTGAAAATTCTCTTCTTTACACTGCAACAATTTCCACTTCTGCTATAAAATCTTTACTTCATTTTTCCTGATCTCTGATTTTTAGCCTCTTCAGAAATTCTACAAGCTTTGGTTTTTCTTTCTTTTTTCTTCTTCTTCTTCTTCTTTTTTTTTTTTTTTTTGATAAGATCATCTTGTCAGAGGGAGAGAGAGAACACAAGCAGGGGGAGCCGCAGGCAGAGGGAGAAGCAGGCTCCCCTCTGAGCAGAGAGCCCAATGCATGGCTCAATCCCAGGACCCTGGGACCATGACCTGAGCCAAAGGCAGATACTTAACTGACTGAGCCACCCAGGCGCCCTAGCCTTAGTTTTCTTTCACAACCATCTTCACACAGACTTCAATGTTTGGAGCTCATTACCTCCATTTCCATTGTCATTCCCTAATTAAATATTTTTACCTCCTCTTTGGACACAATTTTGTTTGTATATCTACATGTTGACAGAGTTCCTCCCCAACTCAGTCCAGTCAATATAATGGTTCAGGTTTTTAAAGGCTCAACTGATGTATAATCAATCTCTGATCCTGCATCCAAATGAGAAAAAGTAAAATAATAAAGTAAAATGTTTGTAGTTATATTCACTGTTATGAAATGTATTCACCTGATAGTGTTCTATTATAATTTTCATGGCTCTTATTGTTTTATGAAAAAATATTGCCTATTTATGATTAATACTTAAGTATATTTATTTTTAAGACAACATTTCAAAAGAATTCTTTCAAGATCTATACTTTTACAGGGTGAATTCCAGTATAACCTCAAGACTCCAGGTAATCAACATAGCAAATTGGTATACTTTCCCAGCTATCTTTTTTTTTTTTTTTTTGCAAAACTGCAAATAGTTTATAAATCTTTCTCTCTCCAAACAATGGTGACTTTTATCTCTTAAAGTCCTTCTGGAGGCTCTGCCCCAGGCCCTCAGGGTCAGTACCTTACAGATCACCTTTAGGACTGAAAAGCTCCACTGGAAAAAAACAGGTGTTCTATGAGTTTTAAGTTTTACTCACATGTAAATGAGATATTTTGTTAGAACAAATACTACTTATTGTGTATATATCAAGCACTAAGGCAGGTTTATTGTTAATTCTCTGCTTTTTCAAAGTAGGTATTTTTATCTTCTTTTAATAGTTGAGCAAACTGGGTTTTAGGCAGATTAATGGACTCACCTACAACCACAAAATTAACAGTTTGTATTTTAACAATGAGCTGCCTGATTTAAAAACTCAATCCCAGCTTGCATTCCCACCAACAGTGTAGGGGGGTTCCCCTTTCTCCACATCCCTGGAGGTTCCTCAAAAAGTCAAAAATAGAGCTACCATATGATCCAGCAATTGCACTACTGGGTATTTACCCCAAAGATATAAATGTAGGGATCCATAGGGGTACATGCACCCCAATGTTTATAGCAGCAATGTCCACAATGGCCAAACTGTGGAAAGAGCCAAGATGTCCACCGACAGATGAATGGATAAAGAAGATGTGGTATATATATACACAATGGAATATTATGCAGCCATCAAAGGGAATGAAATCTTGCCATTTGCAATGACGTGGATGGAATTGGAGGGTATTATGCTGAGCGAAATAAGTCAATCAGAGAAAAACATGTATTATATGACCTCATTGATATGAGGAATTCTTAATCTCAGGAAACAAACTGAGGGTTGCTGGAGTGGTGGGGGTGGGAGGGATGGGGTGGCTGGGTGATAGACATTGGGTAGGGTATGTGCTATGGTGAGCGCTGTGAATTGTGTAAGACTGTTGAATCACAGACCTGTACCTCTGAAACAAATAATACATTATATGTTAAAAAAAAGAAGAAGATAACAGGAGGGGAAGAATGAAGAGGGGGGGAAATCAGAGGGGGATATGAACCATGAGAGACGATGGACTCTGAAAAACAAACTGAGGGTTCTAGAGGGGAGGCGGTGGGAGGATGGGTTAGCCTGGTGATGGGTATTAAAGAGGGCACATTCTGCATGGAGCACTGGGTGTTATATGCAAACAATGAATCATGGAACACTACATCAAAAACTAATGATGTAATGTATAGTGATTAACATAACATAATAAAAAAAAAAAACTCAATCCCATTTTACTGTGGTGGCTCTTAACCAGTGCTGTATATTTCAATTGCCTGGGGCAACTTTTTTTTTTTTTTTTTTTAAAGATTTTATTTATTTATTTGAGAGACAGAGAGAATGAGAGAGAAAGCACATGAGATGGGGGGAGGGTCAGAGGGAGAAGCAGACTCCCTCCTGAGCAGGGAGCCCGATGCGGGACTCGATCCAGGGACTCCAGGATCATGACCTGAGCCGAAGGCAGTCGCTTAACCAACTGAGCCACCCAGGCGCCCCTGGGGCAACTTTTAAAACTGAAACTTACTTAAATTAAGTTTTAATCAGAGAAATACATATATACAATTAAGAAAAACCAAAATAATATTGTTAGACTGGTAGTGAAAGACGGCAATTCTCCACCTTTTCTCTACTCATCTCCGACTTTTTTCTCCAGAGACAACCACTTCTTTCTGTTTATCATAGTTTTTTAATAATGTGTTGATACTGTTTTACTGACCTCTCTATATTAGATCTCGACTGAATTTTCCCCATTACACACACCTCTCTCCTCTCCAATCCCCTCAATATTACACATTTTTTGTTGTATTAGTATTCAGTTTTACATAATTATGACTGAGTTTATATGACTAGTATTATTCACAATAGAAGAATGCAGTGTAGGTCCTGAAAAACTTTGAATTTTCCTGTTTCATAATGGATTTGTTTCCTTAATTTTAAAAAAAAATTTGCAGACCACCAATTCATCCTCAGACTCTGAAAAACTAAAAATCTAGCTATCTTTACATTGAACTATTTCATATTTCAACATACATACTTCATTCATTGAGCAAATTTTCCTGAAGAACTAAAAAAAGCCAAAAAAAATCAACGTCCAGATGCATGAATTGGAAACGAAAAACTAGTATCTATGATTTCATCCCAATCCCATTTCTATTGCTGTTTCTTTCAGTTAAAGTTAACCAAACACATGACTCATCAAACATCTGCTGACCATCAATGAAAAACAGGTATGTTTAATTATGTGAGAAAACTCAAAAACTAAAATATACTAACATACATAAATACCACATGTAAAGAATAATGCAGAGAATTTGGTGCAAGATATCAAATGTAAACTTATGTATATACTTTTTAGAAACTTGCTTTATGAACTTGTTATATTCTTAGAATCTGCTAAATAATTGTCATTAAAAGGGTAAAATTGCTTACATTTATTACATCATTACATAGAAATGTTCATAATCTTTATGAATAAATGAATATAATTTATTGTATACAAAAAGGATTGCAAATATATCAATTAAGTGGATTAAATGAATTAATCCATTCACTAATATAAAAATTAACTTAATTAACTAATAATTAACTATTAACTATATTATTGAAGGAATGAATTAATATTAAATTAATGGACATAAAAGAAAAACTATTAATAAAAGTCATTTTCCTATGTATTAAATCTAATAGAATTGTAATTTGAAAAAAAAAAAAACCTGGTGTGAATCTTACTGCTATAATAAAATCACCTTTCCTTTCAATGACCATATAATTTTAATTTTATATCCCAGGGTAAATGTAAATTTGAACACTACACAGAAAAACATATCATAAATAAGTATTTGACCTTTCAATAATCCTTAATGTTAATACTAGACTTACACATTTCTGTCAGTTTTCTACACCTCAGTAAAACATCTTGGAAGAAATTACAATCTTTAGGAAGAGAAGAAAGCTCACCTTATTACAAAATTGTGACTGTCAATCTCCTTTCCGCATTCACTATCTAGCAGAATGCCAGAATTTCCAACAACTGCACAGGTCTTAAATCTGCGGTTTTTCATTGGTGAAACTTCGGGTAGGAGGCTGTGAAGATCCTGAGAAATATTTAGTGTCCGACGCCTGTCTAGGACATAGTGTATGACATCACCAGGCTTAAAACTGCTCTTGACCACTGAGACATCTCTTTCCGCATCTAGGAAACGAAGAATGTTCTTCCTATATGGAAATACAAGCAAAGTTTTCCATTAATGACAACATATCCAAGAACTGGTGATATCATGTATAAAGTAACATATGATAAAATGTAAATTGGCACACTACTAATCTTAAATTGTCAGGTGGTAATTAAACCAACCAATTAAGTAGATTCTATTGATACTGAATTTGTTCTTAAAAAAATCATGTGCTTATAGTTTCTCAATGATTTGGTAAATAAATATAGTATATACATCTATTTATGGAGTGAAAAATGATACAGAAAATTTAGTTTATTCTGTGCAGCCACTGTGGAAAACAATATGGAGTTTCCTCAAAAAATTAAAAAAAGAATACTTTACTATCCAGCAATTGCACTACTAGGTATTTGCCCAAAAGATACAAAAATACTGACTCAAAGGGGCACATGCGCCCCACTGTTTATAGCAGCACTGTCACCAATAGCCAAATTATGGAAAGAACCCGAATGTCCATCCACTGATAAATGGATAAGAATAAAGAAGATGTGATATATACACTCAGCCATCAAAAAGAATAAAATCTTCCCATTTGCAACAAGGTGGATGGAGCTAGAGTATATTATGCTAAGCAAAATCAGTCAGAGAAAGACAAATACCATATGATTTCACTCATATGTAGAATTTAAGAAAAAAAGATGAACATAAGGGAAGGGGAAAAAAAAAAAGAGAAGGAGGCCAACCCATAAGAGAATCTTAACTGTAGAGAACAAACTGAGGATTGCTGGAGGCGAGGTGGGCAGGGAGATGGGCTAAATGGGTGATGGGTATTAAAGAGGGCACTTGTGGATGAGCACTAGGTGTTACATATAAGTGATGAATCACTAGATTCTACTCCTAAAACCAATATTACACTATATGTTAACTAAAGAGAATTTAAATAAAAACTTGAAGAAAAAAATAAGAAAAATTAGTTTATTAAATAAAATGAAAATACCATGACTTGACTTTGCATAACTAGATATTCTGCTAGCTTTAATTAATTCTCTATAGTCATTTTGTTTTGTTCAGTGTTGTCTAGTTAAGGTAAATAGAAATAAAATGGTTTGGAATTATATCTTACTTAACTCTATTAAAAGGATTAAACTTCCCAATAAATTTATATACATTAATCCAAATCATGTGTATATTACAATTATTTGAAGAAGAATAAAACTATAGTATATGAAAGTCCTTTGAAGCTCAAGAATCCAGGAAGAAAAATGGGTATGTTAGAGGGAAAAATGGATAGATAGAACACCAAACTATGCCCGACAGAGATAGCTGTTCCTTAGTGTTCTTCCTTCCAGTCTTCCTTTTAGTATTTGAATCTTCTGAGTTTTACTCAGGCACATGACTGCTCAGCTAGAAAATTTGCAAGTTTCCAAACTCAAGTGCAGCTGGTTTTGGTCATGTGAGTTTTCGTATGTGGGATATGAGTGTATAATGTGCATGGCTATACAAGAGAGAAATAAACTTCCAACATGTTGATCCATTGTATTTTAAGATATCACTCTTTTTTGATGGAAGCTTAGCCTATCCTGTGCGTATTAAAGAAACTGATAACAGATGTGAGATGCTGTATAAACCAATATGTAAATGCTGAGTTAGATTATGGAAAATGAAAACAAAGCTATAGCTGGCTGGAAAGCTAGTGACCTTGGCATGATATAGCAAAACACCTAATAAAATGATGATCTGCAATAATTTTGGATTCAAATCCTATATCTAATAAGCCTGTTGCTCTTGGAGAAATGGTTAAAAGGAGTTTCCGTGCTGTTTTATGTTAGTTGCTCCTTCTAGCAAGGCACTAAAAGATGCAAAGTCAGGCGTGAAGTAGCCAAGTTGCAAGCTCAACTTGGAAGGAAAGGAATATCTCTGGCAATGGCCTGTATGTAAACTGTGTGAAAGTCTGGAAATTGGGACCTCCAAAATGTTTCTAATACCCCACTTAGCAAGAGATACAACTGTAGATCAGAGCCATCCCAGGAGCAAGAGTCATTGCCTTCTCACCTAAGTTTATAGATTCAAATGAGTTAGGAGGGAAATTAAGGGAAAGGAGGGTTAGGCTGGAATAGAAGAGACTCAGAGGCTGAAGAGCTGTTCAGAAGAAACCTTCGGGTGCAGTTATTTATACCAGTAATTAAGTACAAGGAAATGGCCCAGGAGCCTACTAAGTTTGTGAGGGAAATATATGGCCAAAGAAACTATGAGCCTTCCTACAGAAATCTGACCTCACCTCATCCTCAAGCTACCAAACATGTATCAGCCAGAAGCAATCTGAAAAAAGCTCTCTCCAGACTGGAAATTGGATATTAGTTACGGAAGTGCTCTTATTGTAAGCTTGTGTTTTCAGAGTGCTAGAAACAATACCATTGTTATGACATTTAAGATATGACAGGCATGTTTTCCTTTGGTGCTATTACTCTTTAAGCTCTACCGCATTCATAAATGCTACTGCTGAGCACAATACAACCTACTCCCATTAATCCACCGAAAGGGCAATTCCCCCAATCACACTTACAAGCCAGAAGCATGACTAGCAAGAAGGGATGGAAAATAACTGAAATCTTCCTTTTTGTTTAGTTCTGGTTTGCTTTAAATAGGTCCCAGTTTAATGTGTACTCTTATTAGAAAACCAGTTGACTGAAAACTTTGACCAGGCTTGATACACAAGGTATATGTTCATTAAGTCTCTGGAAAATAAAATATTTTTTGAATTTTTTTCTTCAGTCAGAATATCAGGTTCATAAGTTGAATTTATAGATGAAAATCTGTATAAATGCCCTACAAATGAAATTGCTTGGGGAAAAAAAATGTAGTGATGCCTGACACCTGTATTTCAAAAAAAATCTCATTTCCTGTGGAAATGACAAGGCTGGCTCTAAAATAAAAACTGCACGGATGTGGTCAAATCGCCAAACTAGCTGGTATTATCATTTTCCTTCGAACATAGTTTAAGACTGTTGTAGGTACTTGAAGATGTAACTCACAAGTAGTGAAATATTTGCAAGTGTGACGTGAATAGACCAGATATCCAGATTTGAAAGAAGACTTTTTAACTTGGAAATCCAAAAGGGGAAAATACTTTTATTCACGAAACAAGCTAACACTCAAATGCTTGTCAACTGATAGTACAAGGGACTTTACAATAACAGAACCTTTGTTGTGTTATAGAAATTTAGCAACAAAATATTTTAAACATAGGTCTTTTACATTCCTGAGTATAATAGAACATCTTTAATTTGTTCACTCTTAGGGAAAATTGATATAAAAAAAGTGGATAATAAGAGTTCAGCGAAATTTCAGGGGCGCCTGTGTGGCTCAGTTGGTTAAGGGTCTGCCTTGGGCTCAGGTCATGACACCAGGTTCCTGGGATGGAGCCCTGTGTAGGGTTCCCTACTTAGTGGGGAGCCTGCTTCTCCCTCTCCCTCTGCCCCTCCCTGGACTTGTGCTCTCTCTCTCAAATAAATAAATAAAATCTTTAAAGAAAAAAAAAGTTCGGCAAAATTTCAAAAGATACCACATTGCCTAACTCTTGAGATAAATGACATAATTATTAAATTCAGATAATACAATGTGTTCTTCCAAAACTGTCTTATAGGCTCAACAATTGTTTATTCTGTTAGGGGAGTATTTGCGTTTTTAAACTGAAAGAAGGGTGAAATGGAACCTTGAATGTCTCCAGTAAGTTATTTTTCTTATATTGAACTAAACTTCTAGTTTCCATCTTAGGGCTTACATCTATGCACGGAAAATTATTTGAACTAAGATTCCTGGTGTAGGAGTCAAGAAAAACTGAAAATAATTACTATGAGTGAGCAGTATTGTGGCTTCAATGCCTAATTTTTTTTTTTTTTTTTTTTTTTTTTGGAAACAGTAAGGAAAGGTTAGGGTTTTTTTTTCCCTCCCTAACAAACTGTAGGCATTTTTTATTTTATTTTTTATTTTTTTAAGAATTTTAGTTATTGAAAGAGAGAGAGCATGTGCACAAGCATTGGGGGGAGAGAAGAGGAGAGGGACAAGCAGACTTTTTTCTGAGCACAGAGCCGGACTCGGGCTAGATCCTAGGGACCCTGGGATCATGACCTGAGCCCAAGGCAGACATTTAACCAACTGAGCCACCCAGGCACCACTAGGCATTTTTTAGATTATAGATGTAATGGACTATAAAACGTTCTGTGGATTTGCTAAGTCTAGTTGTTATTCACACTGTAAATATATGAAAAAAAGAAAACTAGTGCTTAAATACAATTAACTAAATGTCACCGGAAGCATGAAAAACTCTTACAGTGAACTGAACAGTATTTTCAGTATCACCAAGAACATGTATGCTTTTGCTCAGATAACTGACATAAATGAAGAGAGCAGATTAAACAAAATTATTTCAGAATGAGAAAGATAGAAAAGAAATTCAGTTTAACTTCTGGGTTCTAAAGAAACATGAATCGAGGCGCCTGGGTAGCTCAGTCATTAAGTCTCTGCCTTCGGCTCAGGTCATGATCCCAGGGTCCTGGGATAAAGCCTGCGTCGGGCTCGTGCTCCGCAGGGGGCCTGCTTCTCCCTCTCCCACTCCCCCTCGCTGTGTCTCTCTCTGTCAAATAAATAAATAAAATCTTTAAAAAAAATAAAAAGAAAGAAACATGAATCAACAAAAGCTAAAGTTTAATATGCAGGCTGTCTCAATACTAGTTTTCCTGATAGGTGATCAAGTCATTACCAGATATTTAAAGCAGGGGTTGTGTTTTGTGTGCGTGACTGCAGACCAACAACAAAAAAGATCCCTTATAGGATTTTAACTGTCATTTTGTGGGCATAATGTAACTTTTGAAACCCTATTAATAAGCAAAATCCTAAATTCAGCAACTGTCTTAATGTTAAAGATAACTGAAAGATCTAAAAATATGTTTCACTTTTAGTGAGACTAAAAATCTTAGTCATAAAGATTATTTTTTGTTAGGCAATGCTGGTTTAAACTGAAAGGCCGGTTGAGACTGTTCAACTGACAGGAATAGATTTTATACAGAAACTTTTCAACTGAATTTTCAACTAGAACTTCCCTTTCAACATCACACATCACTTGAAATAGCAGCTGCAGAGTTCCAGAGAATTAATTTACTAAACATTGTTTTCACTTGTGAAATGTTAAATATAGCTAACCTATCACCAGGTGCCACTCTTTCTTCTCTGTAGGTTTCTTGTCAACAACAAGCATACGTGCTGTGGCAACTAAAATTTAATCTAAATGACACTGTTGACTCCATCAGCAAGTATTGTTAAGACAAATCTTACAGCTGGAATGTATCACAAGTTGAGAAGCAAATTAGGTTATGATACATATATTAGGAATCAGTTTTTGCAACTTTGGACTTCAGACAAAAATCACCAAATCAATTCAATTGTTACTAACGTGGTTTACTAAAAAGAAATTTAAAAAGGTTTAAGAAGTGCTGAGTGTTTCATTATGCCTACAAAAAAGTGGAGAGAACACACAATTTTTTGTCTCAAAGATTATTTTCGCAAGGCAAGATTCTTCAAAGCACTGAAAGAACATAACCTGTAGCTTGTTAGGGCTTCTGAGCTTCGGGTCCCAGCTGTTATAGAAAGATATTCTAGCATCGAAGAAAAATCCTACGCAGCCAAATGAAAAGGCAAAATGGTCTCAAAATGCTTAAAGAAAAGCATTTTTTAGTTTAATTTACACCTCAGATGGCCATTTGATTATTTGACCCAGGATTTAGTAATACTGGATGAATAATATATTTTATTATTTTGGAGCAAAAAAACTCTCCATTGTGTGTACTGCATAAGGCTGCATTTTTAGTATTAAAATAGAGTCTTCCAAGAAATTTGTTTCATGATAAGAGCTTTGGTTCTAGTTAGATAGGCCTAGCTTTGAAGCTTGACTCTGCCACTAACAAGTTGTATGATCCAAGATGTGCTCCTCCGGCTACTTATTGAACAGAGCGAGTAGAAGATTTGTATATGGACCTTTCTCTAAAGTAAATCAATGCATGCAACAGCAAGTTCCTTTTGGTAGGAAAGCATATATAAATTTGCAGTTAGGTTTAGTTAACCTGCGAGTTTGATCCGTTTAAAAACCTTGACATGGGATGATACTGACTTGAAAATAGTCCTTCTAATTATGATGTGCCTTGATGAGTAGTTGAGCTCATATATCTCTATGCATCCACATCTGGTATTGTAATTCCTTAGGTTTCTATTCAGCATATGAAGAATGAGGGGAAAATAAAAAAAAAACAAAACCCAAAATGGGGAAAAAAGTGTCAAGTCACAAGTGTTGGACATGACCAAATACTCTCTTGGTACAATGTTTATAGATTTACTCACAAACATCTGATACATCTTAAATATGTCATTTCTTTTTTTTTTAAGATTTTATTTATTTATTTGACAGAGAGAGAGAAATAGAGCACAAGCAGGGGGAGCAGGAGAGGGAGAAGCAGGCTCCTTGCAGAGCAGGGAGCCCGATGTGGGGCTCAATCCCTGGACCCGGGGATCATGACCTGAGCTGAAGACAGATGCTCAACTGACTGAACCACCCAGGAGCCCCAAATATGTCATTTCTTAGCTTACAATAACAAAGAACAAACTACTACCAATAAAATCAAGTCCTTAACCAAGGTAATTATTTTAATTGTGAAGTTAGCTGTGGAATGGGTAAACTCTTCTAAATCTTGATGAATTTCCAAAGTACCATGAAGGTGGAACCATCTCTCTCAAAAAACTCCCCAGAGGTACGGTTGTTTGATGAACATATATGAATTAATTCTTGATGTGTTTATGAAAGTAGTAGAGTATATATAGGGTTGAAAAAATTAGTAATAAGAAAAAAATCATTCCTACAAATGTAGGGAAAAACAACTTATCATCAGTGACTGCTTCACATGTTAATACAAATAGATAAATAATTTATTAGGAATGTTACAAGAGCATTATAAGTTTAATGAGATTTTTAAAATGAGAAAGATTTGTAAGCATGGTTTAATCATGTAAGATCAAAAATGATTAGTTGTAATATCTTAATCAAAACTTCAAAGTAGAATTTTAAAAACACTTGTAAAATATGCCCACACCCACTCACAGAAACCAAGTAATATGGTTCTTCATAAATGTTACAGATGTGGGGAAGAAATAAAGAAAGATAATAATCCAAATTAGTTTATGGTTAGTTTCCAGTATGAAAAACAAGAGCTAAGCTAACAATAGGACATTTTCATATTCTAAATTTTTTATTACAGGTGTCAAGCTGATTAATACTCACAAATCACTAATGCTATAGGCAATTATAATTTTTATGAACTGTTTTCATGTTGTACAATAATAGTTTTACAAATTATTGTTTCCTTGTAAGGAAGTGACAACTTTGTATGTATTATTCAATATTTGCTCAATTTTTTATTGTTTACTTCTTTACCTGTTAAGGAGAATCATATGAAAAGAGTACTAACATTTCATACATAATATCATCTGTTATAATTTAAAACAGATCACCTTCACAGATATGAATGCAATGTTCATTAATTTATAAAATTACAATAATGATTTGCTTGGCTCAATTTATATTTAATACCCTTAGCTTGAATATCTTAAAAATAGCAAAATGTACCTCTGTAGCCTCATTTTTGTATAGATACTAGGAAGTATATATTACTTAAACTATCGCTAATTACTTTTTGAATTTACTTATTAGACTTTACCTTATCTGATATAATATTTAGATATATTAATTAAACTATTACAATTTCTTATTTTACTTTACTTTCTTCCATTACTTTCTTTTACCTGATCTGCATAGCCTTTCCTAATTGGCTCCTTTCTTGCCAAATCTTTCAGTTTGAAAGTTCCTTTTGAGACATCCTTATAGATCAAATATTTCCTTTATAAATCACCCATATTTCTCTCCTTCCAATATCTACCTCCAAGAAATATGAATCCTTATTCTGTTTTAAACTAAACCATGCCTGTATTTATGACCAGAGTTGTCAAATTTTTCATTTTCTTAAGAGTATATGGAAATCTGTACTTTTAAAGGAATCTCCTAATTTAATACTGGTTTTAAGGGTTTTTATTTATCCAGTTGAAATAAATCTTGCTTGCTGACCATATTCTACCCAGAAGACACCAATTTATAGACTCTGTCATCAGACCCTACTCATCTCCTCATTCTTGTACACTGCCTACAAATACACAAAATTTCCCATAACTAAAAGCAACCAAGTACACACTATTTGATATTGCCATGGTTTGATTCCTGTTTCCCATTCCAGCCACTTCCAAAGCTTCAAAACAAACTATTCCTGAATTTCCCTGGCACCCATCTTTTTAAAAAATTTCCAATCTTTCAAGTGTATTTCAACATGGAGTGAGTGTCTTTGCTGCAATGCATTTTATGAACTGCTATGTATATTCTGAAGATGAGTGTTAGCAGACTCTTCCTGCAAGTCGCTCATGATCTACATGACATGTAGGTATGATCCAAGAAGTGAGTAGATAGAAACCCAGAGAGACAGATCAATGGTTTATCCTTGTAATGACTTACAAAATCTGTGCAGTAATGTCCATTCATTGAATAATTAGAATTTTGCCAATATGAAATTGCAATGATTTTATTATGTAAAGGATAATTCTCTAAAACTTTCAAAGAGTTTGATTTACTGAAATGCTCTGATTTAAACATATCAACCAACATAGCAATGTAGTTGTAGGAAAACATGATGTGTTTGCTTCCTCCATGCTCAGGAGGCCCTAACCTTCTTATTAGTTGTAGAATTGTACTAGAAGAAAATAAGATATAATAGATATATGCAGGCATTGAGTTTGATTTCGAGAGCTTGTTTCAGGCAAAATGCCAAAATCTTACAAAGAATAAACCAGTACTCTAGAAAATTTATTTTCTGCCTTTTGCCAATTTAGGATATAATTACTGAGACTTTCATTACAGAAACTCACATAGAAATATCCATCTATAGAGTAAATAAAACTTATTTAGAATAGTCAGCAAAATAGGAGTTGGATAGGCTCTACTTTCATCCAGTGTGAAAAGATAGAAGAAATGTATGAAGACTTAATAAAGAAGATAAAGACAATTCTCAAAATATATGTCCATCCTGAGTAATAGAATAAAAAAGTCTATTAAATGTTAGTATTCTGTTGAATATTTTATTCCATTAGAATAAAGACAGTATATTCAAAACTCACATATTCATCCTTAAATTTCTGACTGCATAATGATTTCAGTTTTATGGTTTCATAGCCTTCATTGATCAACATTAAGTAGAGCTGGTCCACTCTTTTACTAAAGTATTCATACTTAAACTATAAATCAAGCATTCAATATAAGTTTGTGAAGTCCAACGTATTCGAGAACATGATGTGAAATTTATTATGGCTAGTTGAAGAAACTCACCTTATTTCCAGGACCAAAGAGGAATTGATTTTCCAACCTTCTACAGAGTGCTGGAAGATTGAAGAGCCAGCCTTTCGAATGATTTTATCAGAACTATTGACAAGGGATCGACTCAAACACAGTTCACCATCTCTGAAACAAAACAAAAATGCCAGCTCTGTGAAAGTAAGAAGCATTTTATCTAAGTAGAATAATACATAATTTGATTTGGATTACTGGTTACAAATTGTCGATACAACTTTTTCTACATGGTAGAAGAGGTATGAGATTGATGAAAGGTATTATAAGAAATAAGAGAATATGACTTTATCAGGACAATCTTTACACTTATTCTCTTTGAAATAAAAACATTTTTCATATAAAGAAAAGGTCTTTGTGGTGTTTAAAGAAAAAAAATTTATCTTTAAACTCGATCCTCCCTCCCTGTTGTGTTTAACAATAGAGACAGGAAGTTTGGCCACTTCTCCTGCATCTGTATAATTGTGACTCCCAAGATTGTAATTTTATTTTTACAATGGAAAGAGATTTTGTTTTGGAGTAAGAAGACTTTGGGATATCAGGTGATCTGGGCATGCTGGTGATTCTTTCACTTGCTAACCTATATGTCCTTGGATAATATTCTCTTTCTAGGCCACAGTGGCCTTGCCTTATCTTGAAAATTGCAATAACATTATCTACCATGCAATGACTTTGTGAGAATTCAGTGGGAGTCTGGATGTGAAAGTAATTTATAAAGCACTATTGAAGTGCTAATTTCTAAAATACGTTTGTGTCTCAAATCATTGCAATAATGAGACACTTTCCTGATAGTTGTTGGTGGTGGGGAGACAGATTGTAATGAGGAGAAAGAAAACTCATTCAGTAGCCACTTTTAATGGTATTTTCTATTACATCACACACAAAATCAACTGTGCTATCCTTTTCAATCAATATTGTCAGGCAAGTATATAGGTGGCATGGTGGTGTTGGTCATAGTGCTGACATGGTCAGATACCTATGACAGCATATGTATCATTAGGACGTTTATAGTAGAACCAGTTTATTTTTCAATAGACTATTTTCTTAGTACTTTATAGCTTTAAACCCAGACTCAGAGAAACAAAATGCTACCTGTTTATGGTATAGCCCTTTCAGTATCTGCATTTATTTCTTTACTTGTTAACTCTTACTTTTTTAAAATCTCAAAAATAGAGTTAAAAAGTAATATGACTATTTGCTCAGTCACAAAGTCTAAAACTGTGTTCATTATGTAGGCAATCCTCTCCTACTATCAATGGAAACATTGCCTGTGTAACAGCTGTTAGATGAATTCTGTAATTAGAGGCTTATAGTTTGGTATTTTGGTTTGCATTCTTTTTTAAACATGTAGTTCCAATTTGAAGCAACTCAAAGCATCATATGCATTTCTCCCCATGAAATTTAGAACTCATAAAAATCAATATTTTAAACTATCCTACTGATGAAAATGATACATTTGCATGCCTATGCATGGCCAATAATAACCATTTTATAGAGGTCATTTAAGATGCTAGGAAACATAGGGTGAAATTTACTACTAAGTGGCCCAGAAGTCAATTTTTATATTACACGTTTAATGATAATAACTACATATGAATGAGAACACGGATATATACAGAACCTAACCTTCACACTTTTGGAGATATGCCTTCAAGAATATGGGTACAAACTCTCACCATTTCTAAGGGCAGGGATTTTTTTCCTATCTTCATCTTGTTAACTGGATTGTTAATATCACCTTTTTCTAACCACAGATTGCCATAATTAATAACAATTATTTTACCACCAATTAACTTTCATAGGAGAAGTAAAAATATACATGGGCTGGCATTCTTAAATATCTGTGGAAGATTGTTTCACTGACATGTAGCTAAAGGTACATTTTGCATTGCAAAATAATCGCTTTGATGTATTTAGTTATATGGAGGCTTTTCAGAACCTCCAAGACTTAAAAAAAAAAAAAGTGCTTTAAAAGTTTAAATCGGTTTTATATTAATGAAATACTACCATATAACTCTGCTCTTTGAACTGTTTTCACTGAACTGATGATAAACCAAAATTCAGTTTCATTCCTGGAAAGAACTTTGAATGAAAATAGTTACAACTAGTCCCACTTCTTGAAGTAGATGGAATTCCTATGTAAGAAGGCTAGACTTAGTGCAATCTGAGTCTCTGGAGCAAATTTCTTTGTATAAAAGTTAAGTGAGTCCCAAGGGATGTTTCCATTTGTGACCTTGGCAGTATTCTGTCTTAGATAGGCTTTTCCTTTAATGCAAGGCATGAAGGATGTTGCCACCCCCTACTAGTTTTTCATTCCAGATCAAAGCAATTACTATACAGCTGCACTGAAAACATTTCTTGCATAGGGCTATATACAGGAATATCCAACATATACTTCTAAAGAGAAAATCACAAAACACATCAGGAAAATAATGCAGCATAAAGCAATATATTTTATAAAGTAGTCCTGCTTATGTTGAGCTAAGAAAACCTTACAATGATGGTAGTGACAGAATTTAATCATCAGTTACGTTACTAGTTTTTACAAATATTTTTCTCTTTGAAATATGAGTTGCCAGGCATCACTACAACTTATTCTATTAATTCTGAAGTACATAACAAATATAATTTTGTTTCTTGAGATTAGGTCCCAAAAGTCCCTCATTCAACCCCACTGAAATCTCTTCACAACTTGGCTTTGGAATGAATGTGTTCCCCATGAACTAGGTTAAATTTCCTCCTTAATATAAAATTATAAAAGTCATTCAAAAGAAAACTTGCATCAAACTAAGCCTGAATACCAACAGCAGGCAATTTGGTGTTTTCATTCCCTAAGTGTCAAACAACTAAAAATAAAGATGAGATGTACTACCTTAACCTACTGCTATGCTTTTTAGTAGAATTTCGAACGAAACATACAAAGTGCATGCAAACCCAGATCCTGGGTTTCCTGATTGATAAGTGGGTTCTACCCTAGAACCAACTGGAACTAACTTTGCTGACAATGGCAATATTCTAACTATGAATGCTTATCTCCACTGTCAATATTATCATAAGTTTCAGAATTAATATGGACAATTATTTAGTGAGAGAAAGTACACAGTCAAATTAAAAAGGAAATCTCTAGATGATAAGAAAATTTGTTAGTCTCATTTGTGGTCAACTAGGAGCACAGTATGTGGCAAGTTTTAAGGAGTCGCCATCAAAACAAATACTTGTGTGATATTTAAGTTTATGCCACACTTTCAAATCCATTATCTTATTAAACAAGCACACCCACATATTTTTATCCGTAAGACCCTTAACACAATTATACTCAAAGAGCACACAAAGTCAGTGAAATCATGGGTCAATTGTGAGGCAAGTGCCATTTTTCCAATTATGAAAGAATATATATATATATCATTCAAGGATAAACCACTTTATAGCCTCATGCTTTTTGAGTTAAACTTTATTAACTAGTAATTAATCATACCAGGCAATTAATAGGTTTGCATGAAAGGTTAAATTTCCAATAATTACTTGACCTATTCTCAATAATTCCTTATAAAAACCATGCTTTTAGTATTCCTCTGGAGATATGAGAACGTGGATGGTAGGCAGGAAAGTTGTGCTGGTGTTCCCTTCTGCGTGGAACGACTGCTCAGTATTGTATATAAGAACAACGCTGCACTGACTCTAGATGGGACCTCCAGTTAAGAGGGGGAGGTGGAATAAAGAAACTGCCTGCCTACTGCAAATGGTAGCAGGAAAACGAAATATGAGGGGGGATTTTGGCGGCGGGGGAGGGGTTCTAAGGTACAAGGATTGTGTAAGGCCCTTTACTGAACCTACTGCCCACTCTCAAGCCATGCAGTACCTCCCAAAGGTCTGAGATTGCCTGTTACCTCACTTTCCAATGCTCTGGGCCAAATCTCCACTCCACTCATCTCAAAACTAGCCCCTCTAAATGGCTTTGGGGGTAGAAATAGAGTCAAAGGGATCATTAGGTCGTTGGATGAGTCAACTCCTCCACTAGAAGCACTATTTGGAAGTTGAAACGAAATCACGAACTGGTATCACAAGCTTTTCCACCGAACGTTTCACCTTGAGGGAAAACGGAAAGAGTGCTCAAGAGGACTGGCTGTGGACGCATTTTCCCGGCAGCGCCGAGTCCGCCGAGGCAGGGCAGAGCGGGCGCCCGCCGCGGCGGCGGGGAGCTGCAGCGCACGGGAAGCGCAGCGCCCGCAGGCGGCTCTCAGCCCTTCCCCCGCACCACCGTAATTGCGGGTTTTAATTAAGGAGGAGGAGCCTAGTTGCCCACTGAGACGTAGAAGTGATTTTTTTTTTTTTAAGAGGGGACCTGGTTCCCGAAATAAAGGCTCTAACCTGTCTCCTCACTCATTCTTCCACCCTCGCTTCCATCTCTCGCGGAGGAGGGGAGGTAGCCGGTGCGTGCGTACCTCGCTTCCTGTTTGATTAACTCACGCGCCCGCCTCACGCTTTCTCAGAGGAGCAGGGGAGCAACCGCAACTCAGCCCCAAGAGCGGGCGAGCGAAACCCAGCGGGGCTAGCCCAACCGCGGCGCCGGTGCCTGCGCCCGCCTGCTCCTCGTCGGTGCCCACTGGCCCGCGGCGTCCAGGAAAGGGTCACAGGAGGAATGTTGCCCGGGAAATGTGGAGCGTCCCAGGCCGGTCATTTCCCTGCGAGGTACACGGGGTGTGCTCCCCCTTCCCGGCGGCGGTTTAGGGAGGCCGGGAGAGGGCTCCTGGACGGCATGGGACGCCTCCTGTCCGCCTCACGGGTCCGCCCACTCCTGCTCCTCAGCCACCCGAGGGCCCGAACCCTCAGAGTTCTGGCGAGGCTTGGCGGCTTTGTCTGGGCTCACGCTTGTGTTCGGAGCCCACCAGCCCGGAAGGGAACAAAGAGCCTCGACCCCCACGCCCAGCCGCCGCCTCTCCCCCACGCGCCAGTTTATCACCTTCCGCGAGACCCCTTTGTCTGCCTGGGAAGCACAGGTCGGCCGCGGATGCCCCCGCCCCCGCTCCCGCCCAGAGTCCTGCTTTGCTGACAACTGAGCTAGGCTGCTTTTTCAACCCACCCACTCCCTGTGTAAGCGACCTCATAGTTAGGATTTTTTTTTTCTTTTCCAGAATAGACCATTTGTAGATTTGTCGATGCATAACGACCATCCAGCTCATTCTTTACTAGCTTTTTTATTCCCTTGCAGTCCTTTCGACTGTACTTCTACTATCTTAGTTTTCTATAAAACAGCAAATTCTCTCTATTAAGTATAAGCCTCCGTCTTGCTCACTTAAATACTCATTACTTAGGGAGGAGCAGGAATATTAAATCGAGTGCATGAAGTTTGTGTGTGTGTATGTGTGCACGCGTGCACGTTTTAGGTCTTTACATGCGCACACGCGTACGCGCGCGCGCACACACACACACACACACACACACACACTCGCACACTGGCAAGGGCTCTATCTTCGTTTTAATAAATGTCAGGGAACATAAAAACCAGGCTGGCATCTGCCAGTGTGGAGTTTCCGATAGCAGACGCCTCCGGATAAGGGAGGATTTCCGAAACAGGACTTTGAACAGAGTTGACAACCAGGTTCACATCCTCAGAAAACGCTTCCAAGCTATGTAAGCAACACAAAGTTGCAGCCACCTCCCGGGTAAACTTCAAAGCAACAGAGGCCAGGGGAAGGGAGGAAGGAAGTGCGATATTTAGAGAACTTACTGGGGTGGGGGAAGCTTCTGAACTCATTTAGACAAACTAAAGAAATAGCAGAAATATAGTCTGTGTGAAGCTACAGTACGCAGTTTCTAAAACTGTAACCATGACGCCCATGCGTTTTACCCACAGAAGAGCAAATAGGGAAGAATCCTTGGTTGTATTGGAGTTTCTAATTCAAATGATACACAGATCTACACAACGTCAAAGAAGAGGAAAGAAACAGAGGAGACGCATTTCCTGTTTTCTGGGCTTTAACTTCAGCCTTTCAGGAAGCCACCTCTCTCTACTATCTACATAGAGTGATAGGGCAGAGAAAGAAGGAAGGACAACCACATGGGGAATGAAGACACCTCTCCTGAGTTCTGCCCAGGGCTTAAAAGGAAGGACAAGGGCACACGTTCTTTGTTGACACTTCTGCAGTGACTTCTCCTTGGGCGGGTGAGCCCCGGCGCCAGCACAACTGTCACTACCACCACACAGGGCAAGTTGAACTCATCCTGGGAACACGCAGTGGAGAAGCACACACACCTCAACAACAGCCTTTGTTATTTAATTCATGAGACTAAACACACAAAAGCTCGTCAGAACACACGTACTATCCCAACCCTCACTCTACCGTCTATATTCCCATTTCATTTATGGCTTGACTTTTTTTTTTGTTTGTTTGTTTTGTTTTGTTATATCCTGAAATGAAGCTTTGCATTTACCCGATGAGTTGCGTCTCCTGGTGCTCCTCAGTTCTTGCTATTTCTTTTGTCTTATAAAAGATCAGGAGCAGACTTATTGTGCAGATCGTCCACCTCTTCCTAATGGAGCGCATCTTGGGTGCCCGGGAAAGTCCTGGTTGCCCCAGCTCCCTCACCTTCTCTTGATATAAAGGCTCCGTTTTTGGGGAGAGACAGTCGCGGGGGGAGATCTGTAAAATTCGAGGAGAGCGTGGAGCCGGGATCTCAGGAGCGGGTCGCAAGGTTCCGCTGCGGCCGAGCTCCCGCTGGTCCTTGAGCGCTGCCCAGCGCTCTCCCTCCGGGTTCGCGCCAGCCCTCCTCGGGTCGCTCCGCGCCGCCTCCCTGGGGCTCAGGTTTCTTCTCAGATGAGACACCTTGTGCACTGGAGCTGGCGGCCGCTTCTGCAGCTGGGTTCGGGGGCGTCACTGGCCCTTCCCTTTTCCTAGCAGGGAAATGATGAGCAAAACCAGCCAATCACCAGACGGAGGGGGCGGAGGCTGCGGCTGCCTCGCGTTGCTGTCGGCTGCTCGGAGAGTAACGTCGCCGGCGCTGCCTGCACAGTGCCGGGTGAGGAAGCTTACAAGCTTACAGTCGTGTACACACACACACACACACACACACACACGCGCGCGCGCGCGCGCACGCACGCACGCACCAGCACTCACACACCCCGGGGAGAACGCAGCGCGCCAGGAGGAAGTCAGGTCGCCCGCCCGGGAAGCCAAACCATCAGCTCTCTGGATGAGCGCGGAGATAGTCTGTCCTCTTCAGCGTGGAGAGGACACCTCTGCTGGGGACAGATCAGAGACGCATCTTGCTCGAGAGATGCTTCGTTTTCGATTTCGTATAGAGCGGAGGTGGGGGGAGGGATGCAGAAGGGGTAGTTTCTTTCTAGCGCCTTTGCTAAACATACACACTCAGACATGCACACGCGAACGCGCATACACATGCCCTCCCAAGTAGAGTGAATCGGAGTAGGGAGGGGGAAGTAGGAGGAGGACGTTTTGTATTCCGTGCACGGCTCAATCTGGAAAGTACAAATACACACATGAACCAATTAGCTGATTGCCCACTCAGGGTGGGTGGTGGATGACCACCCCGATTTAGGATCTAGCAGGAAACAAGTGATGACAGAGGTGTCAGGCGCTTCGTGGATATTTATGTGACTCTTTTTCATTGCCATTTGGAAACTCCTCACGCAGGAGTCAAGAAAACTCCAATCCTCCTTAAACTTCACTGCGGGGAAACAGAATTCTGAGAAAAAGCAGCCCCCAAGGACATCCTTTTTAAATACAAGTACATCCAGACACAGGAGAAAGAAAGAAAAAAAGGTAGGAAGATAAGAAGAAAGGAAAGAAGGAAGGGCAAGCTCTCCCTCAAAAGTCTCAGTGATGTGTATTTAACCTCCGTGTTCACGCTCTCCTCACCTCCTACTGTTTTTCTTACTCCTGTTGTATTGTGTGGCAGGGGCACTTTCAAGTCCTGGGTAACCCTCAGTCTGAGTACTTCCTTCACTGTTCTTTGGTTTTGCCCTCACCAAGAGAGAAGCTTGCTGCTCCAGTTGGGGTTGTACCCATGCCTTGGTTTGGCTGGTGGGAATGGGTTTGGAGGCACCCCTAGTGTGAGATTCTATCTGGAAGCCAGGAATTTCCCCCATCTATAAGCAAAGGTTCCAAGTTCTCCGCTTTTTCCCCTCTCCATCCCTTCCCCATAGGTCCAGCAGTCTCTCTGAGCTGAATTACTTGTTCCTTCAGGTTGTGCAGAGGCTCCAGCTGCCATCCACTCTTGGCCCCTGGGGTTTATACTTCCCCAAGCCCGGAAATGATGAGGCCCACCACCAATCCTTGGACAGAGCTGAGCAAGAAGGGGAGTTCTGAGTTACTAGTCCCCTGACGGCTTAAGATAACTATAACAGCCAGCACCTTTGCTTAAAATCCTGAGGTCCCTGCCAATGTTTGCCATTCCTCGCCTAAGGTTTAAGAAGTTAAGAGCCTCTCAGTTCCCAAGCCTCATCTTCGCAGCAGAGTGAACTAGGGGGTTGGGTCTAAAATGCTCAAAGGAGCAAGTAATTATGAGCCTTTATTGACACTACAAGTGGCCCACCGGGAGGCTTTGGAGTTTATTGATGTCTAGGCAAACCCCGCTAGCATCTCTATCACACTGACTTCTCAACTAGCAGAAACTGCAAGAATAAAACAGCTTCTTATTTAAGTTAAAAGTGAATCCGGGCCTGGAGAGGGTGGGCAATGCATGGTTAGGATTTTTTAGGTTAATTAATTGAATTCTTTAGGTTAATATTTGATTTTTAAACAGTAAACAAAATATTTTGGATTCTAAATAAAGCACTTGCTGATGGGGATGGAGTAATATGCATCACTTAATTAAATTCATACAACATATTTTGAGCAACTAATATGGTCCAGACAATATGTGAGGACAGGGGAACACAGAGATGAATAAAATATAGCATCTAACTAGGGAGGAAGTTCACTCACTGTGGGAAGATGGAGGGTGGGGGGACAGATTGTAAAAGAATTAAGTTGCAATGTGGCACCATGAACTAACACCAGCATTTTAAGTATGTGTCTCCTATCTGGGTACACTACAGGGTAGAAGCAGATGGAATGTTTAAGTTGTTGGGAGCAAGGAAAGTGATCTTCCTTGGGCACACATCAACTGGGGTTTGCAAAACCTAACGGGCAAGCCAGGCAAAGGGAGGGTACAACATTTCAATCAGAGGAAAGATTATGTGCACTTCAGAGAGGAATAAAATGCTGGTGCTTTGGGAAACTTTGAAGTAGTTCAATACTGTTAGAACACAAAGTGGGAAAGGAGAATATAGTAGGACGTAAGTTTTTAGTATGACCATAATATTCTATAGTTTTACAATCTCAAACTGTCTTCTCTAATGGGGAAGTTGTAACAAAATCTGCAAGAAGAAAGTGGGTTTAATTCATGTATTAAACTTCAAGTAAATTAAGGGGAACTGTTCATCTGGCCCAAACAGACCAAAACAAGCCCACCAGCAACAAAACAAAAACACACCAAGAACTAGTTATGGGGGTACATAAGAAATTTAAACATTGATAAGAGAAAAAAAAAAAGAACTCTCCAGCTGTAAAATGCTGCTATTTCTGTATTCATTAAGCATAACACCTTTTATATTGAGGTAAACATTTCTGAATGACTGATAGTGGTTCCCTGAGACTCAAGAGATTCCCCTTTCCCATAGTTGAACAATTTTGAGTTTAGAGTGTAATTTAGTGTCATTTGTTTAATATGATTAGATTCATGAAATATGCATCCATAACAATTTGCCAGGTTAAAAAAGTAAAATAAAAAAACATTTAGGCTAACACTTAGGCCAAACAGAGGATAGTCTGATTCTTCTCAATAGGCAAATAGGTACAAGAACCATAACCTAAATATTGAGTAAGAAATCTTACTGACATTAAGAGTCTTTTGGACTCAACTCTTTCCTTTAGAATGCCCCTTTTGATGATCTTAAGAAATTAAAGTTGTTTCTAAATTTGCATTCTATCTTTGAGCTATAAGTTCTTCAATAAAGAGAACACATTTGTCTTTATTCAGCACAGTTCTGCAGTTACACAGTACCCGGTGAATAAATAATGCAAGTAATGGCAGCTGGTTTTAAAGTGTTACTTTATCCTTTAACGTCATGTAAATCATGCTTTAATTGCTGGCTGTGCCCTCTTCTTTAGCTGGAAAGAAATGTGTACACACTTTGAGTATCATAGTATAATGGCCCATAACATTTTTTTAATCAGTTATTTTTTAGAGTAGTTTAGGTTTACAACAATATTGAGCAGGAAGTATAAAGACTTCCCTTATACCCTCTCCTCTAAACACGCACAGTCTCCCCCACTATCAACATCCCACGCTAGAGCAGTACATTTGTTAAAATCAATGAAACTGCATTGACATATCATTATCATCCACAGTTCATAGTTTACATTAGGGTTCATTCTTGGTTTTGTACATTCTATGGGCTTTAACGGATATATAATGACCTATGTCCACCCTTATAGTGTCATAGTTTCCCTGCCCTAAAAATCCTCTGTGTCCTGGCTAGTCGTGCCTGCCTCACCCCCCAAACCCCAAGCAATCCCTGATCTTTACTCTCTCCATAGCTTTGCCTTTTCCAGAAGTCATATAGTTGGAATTATACAGAATGTAGGTCTTTTATATTGGTTTCTTTTACTTAGCAATATGCTTTAAAGATTCCTCCATATTTTTTTCACGGCTTGAAAGCTCTTTTTTTTTTTTTTACCATCAAGGAAAATTCTGTTGTCTGGATATATCATAGTTTATTTGAATACCTGCTGAAGGACACCTTGGTTGCTTCCAAGTTTGGGCAATTATGAGTTAAAGCTGCTATAAACATCCATGTGCAGTTTGGGTAAATACCAAGGAGCACAGTTGCTGGTAAGATAGATGGTAAGACTATTGTTAGCTTTATAAGACACTTTATAAAGAACTTGTTTTATCTGCTGAATTTTCTTCCAAGTGGCTGTACTATTTTCCATTCCACCAGCAATGAATAAGAATCTGTGTTGCTCCACATCTTCATCAGCATTTGGTGTTTTCAGTGTTTTGGATTTGGGGCATTCTAATAGGTGTGTAGTGGTATCTCATTGTTGTTTTAATTTGTATTTTCCTGATGACATATGATGTGGAACATCTTTTCATATGCTTATTTGCCATCTGTATATCTTCTTTGGCGAGATGTCCGTTCAGATCTTTTGTCCTTTTTAAAATTGGGTTGTTGTTCTTACTGCTGAATTTAAGAGTTCTTTGTATATTTTGGATAATTGTCCTTTATCACATATTTCTTTTTGCAAATATTTTCTTCCACTTCATGGCTTGTCTTCTCATTATCTTGACAGTGTCTTTCATAGAGCAGAAATTTTAAATTTTGGTTAAGTCCAGTTTATCAATTATTTCCTACATTGATCATGCTTTTAATGTTGTATCTATAAAGTCATTGTCAAACTCAAGGTCATCTAGATTTTTTTCATATGTTATCTTCTGGGAGTTTTATAGTTTCCCATTTTGTAGTTAGGTCTATTATCTTTTGAGTTAATTTTTGTGAAGAGTGTAGGATATAGATCTAATTTTTTTCTTGCATGTAAATGTCTAGTTGTTTCAGCACTATTTGCTAAAAGACTATCTTTTCTGCATTTGTGTTTCCTTTGCTCCTTTGTCAAAGAGCAGTTGAATATACTTGTGCCTATTTCTGAGCACTTTATCTGTTTCATTGATCTATTTGTCTGTTCTTTCACCAGTATCACATTTTCTTAATTATTGTAGCTTTATAGTAAGTCTTGAAGTCTCATAATGTCAGTCCTCTGTTTTGTTGTCCTGCAACTGTGTTGGCTATTGTGAGTCTTTTGTTTCCCAATAAACTTTAGAATCACTTTGTC